AAAAATCGGCGCCGGTCAGTCGATGTAGTTAGGTGTCTAGTTTAAAATAAAACAAACCCGAACTCTCCAGCTTGAAGTATATTAAAAAATCTTGGAACGCCGTTCAGGGTCCTTTTTGGACCTTGATCTCTGGAAAACTCCTAAACCGTAAGACTTGGAGACAAAAAAATTTTTCCATTCCCGTAACTCATTGTGCCGAACATTTACGGAAAGTTTCGTCAAGATCGGATGTATGGTGCCGGAGATAATTTCTGAGGGGGACCCTTAATAGCAAAAAAGCTGTCCGAACCTTTTTTGATCGACCTTTACCTTTTCTCTTACCTGATGGATCACAACGAGTTTTGTCACTAACCTGATACATGTTAAATACGATGGCTAATCCAACGGAGTGTTTGCATGCATATTGTTTAACACCAACGAGACACGAACACGAAGTAAGCGGTGAAACTAACCAACATGATGTCTGCCATTCAACAAAACCATCGAACGACATCCATTGACCAGACCGATACATATCCAACCAAACTGATGGCGTTATTCTCCCATTTGATAATGGAACAATATAAAATAAATTAAACCGGCGTAAAATATCAGAGCGGCTTATACCTACTTATGTACTTCATGCACACCTCTTGACATAACTGTCACTGATTGTACACTGTTATCTGGTACGATTATCTGAATTTCAAAAAAGCATAATGGATATTTTCTGTACTCACCGCATTTGAACGAATACTTCGTATGATTCTTCGAATCTGATGGACGACATTGACGTACGCCCCTAGTGAAACTTCTTGTACCCTCACCCTCACCAAGATCTTAACTTCTTGAATTTTTTCAGTAAGATCTGATTCAAGATCTTGGTAAAAAAATATAAGAATTCAAGAAAGTTCAAGAAGTCAAGATCTTGAACATCTTGCAATTTCTTAACTTTTGTACTAAGATCTTGGAAATTCTTGAATCATCGTTTTGTTTTACCCTCTTGTGTAAATATAAGTGCGAATATTTTCACACTTAGAATAACTTCGAATTTTTTTCCTTCTTGACCATAGTTGTTTAAGGACAATCTATGACTCTATATGATCGTATATCCAATGGTTACGACTGCAATAAATAAAAACAAAATGTAAAGAAAATTTGTCACTCAAGCTCTTGCAACATTTTGAGTGGCTCCACCCAGGATCTTGAAATTTCTTACCAAGATCTTGAGTGAAAGATTCAAGAATCCAAGATCTTGACTTCTTGGTGTTTTTTCCAAGATCTTGTGACATTTCTTAACCAAGAAGGGTACAAGAAGTTTCAATAGAGTGCGTTGTGTTGGAATTTGGATAATTTTTATTTCACAAACTTCAGTAAGAGCTGAACTTAGTATTCCCCTTGTGTTCATTAGCCATTCAAAGGAATTTAACCTAGTCATTCTTGCTTTTGGCTCACAGCACTAACAGTTTGTGCTCTGACACCCTCACCCTCACAAACAACTTTAGAGCATCCAGATTTCCTCGCAACCCTTCCACATTATGGCAGAATACTGATAAAGACTCTTCAGAAGTGTCAAGTGGGAGTAACAAAACAGAGGGAGCGGGGACAGCCAAATTCTCATACTTTATTATTTTCTTCTTTTCGTTCATTCAATGCCGGTTCTTTTAATATTTTTGTTAAATGTTCAACGCTATCAGGATTTGGATGTAGATCATCCCAACGTAACATTGTCTTTGTGAAATCAAATTCAATAACACATAAATTTTGATCATTTTTCGCTAGTTCATCTAATTCTTTATTATATTTGATGATTTTTCTTTGAAATCTTGTATATTTACCTCGACATCTGTTGTCAACATGAACGGGCACTTTAAATAACTCAATATGTTTTATTTTGTATGTTGTTCTTGTCGTCTCAATTAGCTCTTTCGCATGCTCGATAGTCTGAGAAGGACTTTCTTTGAACATGGGTTTGGTGCCTAATACGCAGGTAACACGATCGACATTTTTGTATATTTCATCAAATAATCCTTCTTTTAGACACTCGTTCACACGCGCCGTGGATCGGCCTGGAAGAGTTCTCATGATGATGTCCAGTTGTTCATTGGACAATTTGTCTCTTTCGACATGACGAATTAAATTGTCTCCAAATATCGATTGTTTCCTTTTCTTACTGATTTGTATATTATTATTTTCATGTTGTTTTAGTTGTTGCTAATATTTACTGCATAGACGTATGCAAAGTTTAGCACGACTGATGAAAAACAAACAACATTGCAAAGACTTGCTTACGAAATCTTCGACATCAAAAGCACCGTCTGCTCATTTATTTGGCGAAAACTTTATGAAAAAACTTTTTCGTGCTAAAAGCAAAGTTCAGAAACCAAAAACCACGTTAGCTCCTCATCGCAGTTCATCAAAAGAAATGACAAGCCAAACACTCCATCAAAAGCGGATCAAGTTTCTTTTGCACGACAAATTAAGGATCATGTTCATATGTTCATCAAAGATATTCCTTTTCAACCAATTCCAGCTGGCTTGAATGCTATCGGAGGAAGACTTCGTCATGCGCAGAGAAATTGGCAACTTATTACTAACGACCCTTGAATCTTGAAAACTGTTCACTAAAATATGTACTAACATTTTGAAACAAGGGAAAACAACTGTCAGAGAGCTAGCAAAATTAGTAGACCTTCTTTCAACAGCAAATCAGGCAATTGTATCAGGTCCACTTCACTACAGCGACTTACAGTATTGCGCAGATAAGGAATTGTTTCAAAACAACAGTTATGAGGGACAAGTTACATTCACGAAGAATTGCAATGATGGATCGATGATTTCCCATATTTCAATGGAAAATCTATCCTTATTAGCGGAGAATATCGGGGACATAATGAAATTAATTTTCATATAAATGTAAAGGAATTAAAAGCTGTCAATTTTGTATTGTGAGCGTTTACAAAAGGAAAAACGAACATTCATGTCCATTTGCGAACCGATAACCGTACAGCCGCAAGTGACATTAACAGATTAGGTCTATAGCTTGGACAGTCTCATTTTGACAAAAATGTTTGCTCTTCACTACAGTATTATTAGAATTCATTTTATTTATGATAGTTCATTAAATAAGGGATTTTCCAAAAAATCAGAAATTTCGAAATCCTTTTATATGAAGTAGCGCAACTTGGGGTAATTCCGATCAGTGGTTTAAATTTTTGTAGTATTTTTGATAGCATAAAGCTATTCTAGAACGGAAAAAACTGCTATTGCATAGATAGATAGATGCGAGTCTCAGCTATCTATTCATTTAAAAATTTCCCAAAAATTCATTATGGTTAATTAGTTTCATGAGTTTTCCAGCGCCATATCAGCTGGTGATCGGAATTCCCCCATTTGAGGTAATTCCGATCAGTACACGTCCCTCACTGGGGGAATTCCGATCAACGCCACCGAAACGGTAGGCGCAACGTAAAACAACTTTTGCTCAACGGTGAATATTCACTTTTCTAATTTAAAAGTAGCTCATCTTGTAGAGAATTTTGAGCACTTTCCAACCATGTGTTTGGGAAGTTGAGACCACCTTTCTTTAATTAATTAATGAGAAACTACGTGAAAAGAAAGAAACAGTCATTTTTTGAAAAAATTTCATTTGGGGTAAATCCGATCACACTACAGAATCTATTGGGGTAATTCCAATCACTGCATGTAACACACACGGGAAACACAGAAAACAATCTCCATAAACTTACAGAAGCCGCTTTTCGCCTTACTTCAAGTGAGAAAGTTGTTTAGCACACTCTACTCTACCATTTGATATTAAATTTGACAGAGAAGGGAATATTTTCGGCCACTAATGGGCATAAAATTAATAGTGCTGCTTTTAAACATATTTGCTCTCATTAAAATTATAAATGTAATCAAGTTAAAGCCTTAGTTAGTAATGACATGAGAAAAAAGTTGAGATATCCAGATACGTTAGTATCTGCTCTACAATATGCACTAATTTTTTTAAAAATTAGTCTACATTCAAGGTCTCGTTTGCGCCTATTGATCATCCAATATTATTTGTCAAATCAATGATATTTCAACTGACAAGATCACGTACATAAGTTATTCACTTTGTTAAAAAAAACGATAACCTTGTAAGATTTTTAAGGAGAAATATTTATTAGTCGAGAAACATATTCTATTACACAGAGTCAATCTGTGCCCGAGGTTGCCATGTATAGTGATGTCTGTAAGGGAAGGAATACCATTTAGATTTGTAAGTTGTTTTTGATTAATATTAATTAGTCCTCTTAATTTAATCCCAAAACTGTTGTAAATTTTGACTGATTAACTAAATAATAACTGTTCAGAAAAATTCGTGAGCGTTATTTTACACAATGCTGAACGGGGAAAAGACTTATAGAATTTTGAGCACTAATAGAAATGAAACTGCTTTATCTCGACATATTAACAATCGACTATATATATAATGAAAAGAGTGGAAATCAGTACCATTATCAGTATTCTTTTCAATAAACTATTACATGCCTCGAACGTACATTAAGAAGGGTCATAGACCTGTATATTCGGATAGTGACTTAAAAGCTGCTCTACAAGAAGTGTCCTCCGGAGCTAATATTCGTGTAACATCAAAGAAATTCGATATTTCGTATACAACTTTACAAAATCATCATACTGCTCAAGTCTGGCATAAGGGCCCTGGACGAGCTACACACTTTACTGATTTGGAAGAAACATATTTAGTTGGTGTGGTTACTGTTTTACAAGTAAGTCATACTATACTCGTGTAGTGCTTCTAATGTCTAATATGGTGTGATTTTGGTAGTAGTGGGGTGCCCAGTAACAACGAGAGATTTTCTGAATATAGCCAAATACTATGCTGTTGAACTCGGCAAGAATAAAACGTTTCTGAACGGTCAACCCACTCTTAAATGGTATTATTCGGTTATGTCACGACATCCTGAACTAAAAACTGCAAAACCTCTTCCCCTCGAATTTCCACGCGCACAGATAACCACAGTAATAGTAGATCGGTGGTTTAATATGATGAACAAGATAATGACTTCTAACAACCTGATGGATAAGCCTTCTCAAATTTTCAATTGTGATGAAGCTGGTTTTGCCGACAAAACTGATACAAAAAAAGTAATTGTACCAAATCCCACCAAATTTCCGTACAAGAAACAAGGTGGTACCTGTGGAAAATGTTATTATTCGGTGTTGTTTTGTATTAGTGCGAGCGGGGTTATTCTGCTAGCTTACACGATCTACAAGTCTAAAAAGTTACATTACATAACACATGGTGCACTAATGGTTTCTCTTGTAATTAGCATTTTTCAACAATTCACTTTTGTTTTAGGACCGGCAGGAGCAAGTTACAATACAAGCAAGAATGGTTGGATGCAAGAACGGAGCTTTTATGAATGGTTTAAGAATCTGTTTATACCCCAAACGGCACCATCCAAGCCCATATTATTCATACTCGATGGACATAAATCTCACCACAGTGTGCGGACCGTCGAATTGGCTATTGTAAACGATATTCTTCTATTATGCATACCTCCAGATTCAACCCATGTCCTTCAACCCCTCAACGTCACATTTTTCAAACCAATCAAGCAAAAATATAGAGAAATTCTTAGTGAATATTACAGAACATCACGATACAAAAACGTCACAAAAGATATTTTTCCAACACTATTGAATAAATTATTTAATTCGTCTGCTGTTCGAAAAGTCAACATCATCAAGGGATTTATGAATACGGGTATTTATCCACTTAATAGAAGGTCGATTAATTCTGCAAAAATTTTGAAATGCAACAATAAAATTGAGAAGGATATTGCTGCTGGCAAACACCCAAATACTTCAATTGATTCAGGCGATGATGATGATGAAGAACAAGATAATATATCTATTGCGTCGAGATTGACAAGTAAGAAATAGGAAAAGTTTGGAGAGTGGAGAATCCAATTTTTCTCTTTTTCGAAGCTTACATTTGAATACCAGCGATTGGGATAATCAAGGTATAAAAATGCCTCTATTAATTAGTGGCAATGTTCTCAAACTGTCTGCTTTATTTAGATTCCTCCAGACCTCTGCCGCCAATAAATACAAGCGATTGGGACCATGAATTTAAGTCATACATAACTTTTTGTTAAAGAATTTCTAAGAACGTTTCCTATTTAAGCTGATGCTCCCCTAGATTTGTCTTTCCCAATGAAATCATCACTTGAACTTATCCTAAAGCAATACCATCTAGTCCGACGAGAGCCACTGGACGTGCCCTTTGCTCGATTAGACCATCAGCTACAGAACAACCACCTGCGAAAAAAATAGTGCTTGAAAGAGAAGCTGGTCAACTATTAACAGACGAACAAGTTCTACAACAACTGAAAGAGAAAGAAGAACGTACCCTGAAAGCGAAACGAGTTACAACACGAACACTCAAACGTCCAACTGCAAAAACTAAACAAAAGTAAATACTGACCACTATTCACGGTATGTTCGAATGAGAATGAGACACTCCAAAGGTTATTTTAGATATTGTGACTTTTCAGATGCGATTGGTATTAATACACTTTCGACTACGTCAATTATGACAACAGCTGCGTTAATACCTACAACAGCAAGTACTTCTTCGATGGTCTATTCCACATTGCCGACTGTTCCTGTTTCTTCAACTTATACACCGTCGTTGAGTATTGCACAATCTTCACTAAACACTACTAACCTTCCTACCACTTCATTTGATTCATGGAACAATTTGTATTCCGGTTTGTATTCAACCGGATCAAAATCTACTTTTGTGTTAATACTGAATTCATTCTAGGTTTTTCGAGTTTCTCTACAGCTAATGTACTAACTACCAATCAATCTGCTGCTCCATCACTTTCTCACTCATCTTCATCTTATCCCAACTATTATTCACTGCCTACTACTACTTCTGATTCATCTTATACTCTTTCTGACCCAACAGCGAATACGTTCTTGTTTTCTACTTCGATACCAAAGTGTTATAAATGTCACTATCAGTCAAGCAATCTCATACCTTGTTCACAATGTACAAAGCACGTTTGTGCTAATTGTGCTGGATATAATTGTACTTCCCCATATTCATGTATATTTTGTGCTATAAAATCAGCAAATATGTTTCTCGACTAATAAATATTTCTCCTTAAAAATCTTACAAGGTTATCGTTTTTTTAACAAAGTGAATAACTTATGTACGTGATCTTGTCAGTTGAAATATCATTGATTTGACAAATAATATTGGATGATCAATAGGTATCAGTAAAGTGTGTAGCTCGTCCAGGGCCCTTATGCCAGACTTGAGCAGTATGATGATTTTGTAAAGTTGTATACGAAATATCGAATTTCTTTGATGTTACACGAATATTAGCTCCGG